CCCCAAAACCCCAAAACCCCAAAACCCCAAAACCCCAAAACCCCATAATAACTGTAAATTATTGATTAGATACGATAATCACACAAACATGTTTAGCGCAAGCAACTTCACATATCTTCGTAAAGAAGATGACGAGGTATACTCTGTATCCTCTGATGAACTAAACCATAGTTTCAGCTCTGGCTCGAGTGACGATGAGATAGAGATGCCTAGATTTGTTCAAAAGAACTTTGATGAAGGAATGGAAATCAAATGCAGAGCAGTTCCTGATAGTGACTCTGAAAGCGATTTTGATGATGAGGAAGAGGAAGAGATGGAATACAAAAAAACAACTCCTGCTCCTGCTCCACCACCAGTGCCGTGCGGAATGGCACTCCCAGAGATGAAACCAATGGCTCCTCCACCTCCTCCAGGACTTTCATGTCCCCCATTAATCAAAAGTAAGAAGATGTCCCCAACTCCTGCGTACCCACCTCAACCACTTAAGAAATCTCTGAGAAAGAAAGCTAGACCCAAAGCCAAGCAAAAGGACACCAAACATGCCATGGCTGAAGAACTTTGATCCAAAGTTATGATGAGAAAGCAAGCTATAGATCCTCCTCAAAAGAAGATAAAGAAAGAATCTAAAGTTCCAAAGGCAAGATACAATCGTAAAGGAAGGAAGTTCAGAAATGAAGTAGACACTAATGTAATCTCCCTCAAGCTCAAAGTTCTGAAGGATGATGCTGAACTAGCTGCTGGCGACCCTATCTTCTGCGAGAAATGCAACGCTGTGTTCAACAGCCACAGCACTCTTGGAGAGAAAGAAGAGAACAAACTTGAAGAAATCAAAGAGGAAGTGGAAGATGAAGAGGAGAAGGAAGAAGCCATGGAGGATTCCAAGCTCTGGATCTGTGAGTTCTGCAATCATAGGAATCATATCATGGTTGAGCCTGAGGAGATCCCGAGCAAGAATGCAATGAATTATATCATTGATACTGAAGAACTTGATGAGAATAAGAAACATTCAGGTGAAGGAGCTGTGATCTTCTGCATTGATATCTCTGGATCTATGTGTGTCACTAAAGCTGTTGATGGCAAGTTCAAAATCAAGGGAGACAAATATGATGAACTTCAGGAACTCATGAAATATTCAGATGGTTCAGACCAATTCGCCTTCAATGACAGGAATGTTACTTATGTTTCAAGACTTCAGTGTGTCCAAGCAGCCATTGAAGCTCAGCTGATCGACATGAAGGCTGAGAAGTCGAAGAAGAAGGTTGGTTTGGTTTCATTCAATGGAGAAGTAAACATCATTGGAGATGGTACTCAAGACTCTCAGACCATATCTGGAGATAAGTTGATGAACTACGAATACTTATTAGAAAATGGCCAGAAAGTTGCCAAAACTCATTTATCTCAAAGCATTGAAGAAACATCAAAAGAGTTGAATGAAAAGCTATTCGCTCTTGAAGAAACTGGCCCTACTGCTCTTGGACCTGCTGTCGTCTCTTCCATTGCTATGGCTGGTGAATGTGGACATGGATCCCAAGTCTTCATTTGTACCGACGGTTTAGCAAACATTGGAATTGGGTGTATTGAAGAGCAGAAAGATAGCATTAGTGCTGAGCAAGATGTTATTGCCTTCTACGAGAAACTAGCAGATTACTCTGCAACTAAAGGCATAGTCATAAACATTATCAGTATCAAAGGAGAAGAATGAGATCTCCAAACACTAGGACCTCTCTACGATAAAACTGGAGGAAAAGTAAAAATTATGGAGCCAGATAAACTTGAGAAAAACTTCTCAAATATGCTCAAGCAGAAAGTACTTGCGACCAGAGTTGTGACTAAGATCAAGCTACATCAAGCTTTGGAATTCAGAAATGAAGATGAAAAAGACCTCAGTGACAACAAAACTTTGTTGACCAGGGATCTCGGGAATGTGACAGAAAAGACTGAAATAACATTTGAGTATCGACTCAAGGATAAAGAGGAACTGAAGAAAATTAAAGGATTTAAGATGAGCCAACTCAAAGATATCCCCTTCCAGTCTATCATAGAATATACCAAACTTGATGGAATGAAGTGTATTAGAACACTGACCCAGGTCCAGAAAGGAACAGAGGACTCTAAAGAGGCAAAAGAGGGAGCTAAACTGGATGTTCTAGCTACCAATGTTACACAACAAGCCTCCCGCTTAGCAAAGAAAGGAAATCTTAGAGAAGCCCAGGCTTACAGTATGAACCAGAAAGCTTATCTCAAGAAGAACATTGCTCCAGAGAGCAAATCAAAGATGTTTAAAAATTGGAAATCTAAGATGAATGTTATCTACGGAGACATCCATAAACAAAACAACGAAGAGGAGATGGCAGATGAGTTTGCCTTCAACTCAGAAATGGAATCTGCTCCAAAGAGCAGAATCAGATCAAAGATGGAGGACCAATTCGCAGTCAGACTCAGAAGAGGCGCCCAGTTCTGCGATGATGATTTCGATTCAGAAGACTCCGATTTCGATTAATCTTTGTTAGAATTCCATATTTTTTGAAGAATAATTCAAGACTGATACCATACAAAGGGGTTTTGGGGTTTTGGGGTTTTGGGGTTTTGGGGTTTTGGGGTTTTGGGG